TGGTCTGAAATAAGCATTTTAAAATGTTTTCAAAATATATGTCTGGCACTTTGGAGAAAATCCAGGACTCGCTGGAGGGATTATGTATCCCCTCTGGCCTGGGAACGTCTCGGAGTCCCCCAGGACATGGAGGGTGTCGCTGGGGAGAAGGGGTCTCTCTGCTGCTGCCCCCGCGACCTGATCCCGGATAAGCGGCAGAAAATGGACGGACGGACAATTTGTATTGTTAGTCTAAATTGTTACATTTAAAATTATAACTCTAATTCAAACAGAATAGCCTGTTGTCAAGATAATCATAGAGTGTCATTTATTTTCAACTCAAAATATCTTCAAACTAATGAAATATAAAGTTATTAGGAAGGAAAATCAGCACAACTTAAGAACAAATCTGTGCGTACGAACGGTTCTTGCATGAGGCCCAATGTTTCAATTATAAACAAAGAAGTACAAATATGTAGGTATAGTGTCTATAAAAAGTATTGTTTTACAGTTTTGTCGTGGTTATAAATCAGTCATGGTCAATATTAATTGCCTTTTTTATAAAAAGAAAAAAATTCCAGTGACATAAAGTGAAATCAAACTTATGTAAAGTAATGCTAACTAAATAAGTGACTGCATAAATATTTACCCCCTTTAAAATGACTGTCTTTATTTAACTCAGAGAAAAGATGACTGAAAAGTACAAGTCAGGAGATGGAGACATTTCAAAGGACCTAAACATTCCAGGAGTTCTGTTAAATCAATCCATCCATCATCTTTTACCCGCTTCTTCTTTTCCAGGTCACTTCTGCCTATACCCAGCAGTCACTGTGGGAGAGGTAGGGGACGCCCTGGACAAGTCCATCACAGAGACACACAAGACACAAACAACCATGGACAATTTAGAGTTACCAATTGACACAAAATGCATGTTTTCATCACTGCCACTAATGAGTTCCTGGACTACAGTTAAAGAACTAGGTGTTGTTCGCTTACTTGCAGTAGAAGAAGAAATTACTTGGCATGATTGTTTTTTTTTTTTTTTTTTTGTATTCTAGAGACCACTGAGACACCCGTGAGCACTCTGAAGGACCTACAAGCCCCAGCAGATGAGATGGGAGAGACTGAACAACAACTGTTGCCTGAGTTCTTCACCAATGCTTGGAGTCTTACACATCTGGTTGGCAAACTCTAATCCAGATTTATTATCAATCTTCTCCATCTCACCTGCTGAAGCTTGAAACTCCTTCAGAGTGCTCACAAGTGTCTTGGTGGCCTTTATCACTATTTTCTTTTATGCACAGTCACTCAGTTTGTGAGGACGGCCCACTCTTGGTAAATTTACACGTCCCATACTCCTTCCAGTTTACAATTATGGACTTAACAGAACTTCTGGGTGACATTTAGGACCATAGAAATACTTTTATTCCCATCCTCTGACTGGTCTTTCTCAGTGTTCTTTTTTATAACTGGCATTATTTTGTAGAAATTAAATCTTACTTTGCCAATAAGCTTTTTTTAAATAATTTTTTTGACAAAAAGCCCAATTTATAGTGAGAAATGATAATACTCATTATAAAAAGGTAAACCCCCCAAAGGGGTGGATATGGCAGCATGACAGCTTAGTGGTTGGCACTGCTGCCTAACCGCAGAAAGGTCCTGGGCAGGGGTGGGCGTGGTTTCGCTAATCAGCTAATAGCAGAACTACTTTTGCATTTAGTGGATTAGCTTTTTCACTAACTTTGAAAACTGTTAGCAGACCAATTAGCCTCTGCTAACTTAGATATTAGTGTTAGCTTCTGCTAATTTTTAGTTTTTTATTCATTTTGTTTAGCTATTTTGAATTAACTTCAGAAAATGTATTTGTTTTTTTTTTTACATATTTTTGGGTTTGGCGTTAGTAAAGCTAATATTTTTAGTTACCAAAACTAACTTTTTGGTTAACTGTGCCCAGCATTGGTCCTTGGTTTAAACTCCAGTGTGGGCCTGGGACATTTTTGACCTCCCTTAAAAAAGACATCTGTAATCTCGATGGTATTTGCATGGTTAAATAAAAAGTTAATACATTTAAAAAGTACTTTTTATAGACACTGTATGTGTAAACAAGTGTATGTTTGTGTGTTTCTATACGCATGTATTTTCGGGTAAGATCTGCCTTATTTGAAGATCCAAAGCCTAGATTACTGCTGGCTGCAAGATTGTACTTTGCGTTGTGGTTTTGGAGATGTGGGGCTGTGTAAGTGTGGGATCTGTGGGGATGTACGAGGAGAAAGGCCTAGCCAAAGAACTGAAGATCTCTGAGAAATATGATTCACCTGTTCAGCGGAGCGCCAACGCATTAGATTATTGTTACCGGTAGATGAGTTTGGTGTTGGACTGAATTGAGGAACTTGAAGAAAATTGACAATAGCGTGGTCAGATATGCAAGAACTTCGTCGAGGGGGGGCTGAAGGAGGGCACTGTGAGGAGGAGAGTTCGTGATTTGAGTGGGCATTTTTTAAAGTAGCACGGAGAAATTGGCTAGGGCAGGATTGGAATAAGGGGTCAGATTGCTCATCATCTTTAAACTCTGAACACGCCCACAAGTCCTCTTGGCTATCAGATAGTTGTGCCAGTTTGCCACGCCCACTTTGGTTTTCAGGGTATAGCTCTACATCTATTCTATGACAAGGTGAGCGTGACCTACAGGGAGGGTTAGAACTAACCATTCCGATCCCAGTAGGAGAGATTGGGACATGGCTCTCCACAGGAAACTGGACATGTTCTGCTGTCCAAGAAGTCCGAGACCTGGGACCTTGTTTAAAGTTATTAGCAGGAGTAGGAGAAACAGTCACTGTAGGGATTGGATTTGGTGCCTGCATGGGCCTTTTGCCAGGATTCATCTGCTTCTGAACACAAGATGGGTTCTGACCCACCTGTCCTGGTTGAATCAGTCCCTTAATGGGTCCTTTGCCAGGATTCATCTGCTTCTGAACACATGATGGGTTCTGGCCCACCTGTCCTGGTTGAATTGGTCCCTTAATGGGCCCATTGCCAGTAATCTGCTTGTGAACACATCTTGGACCCTGACCCCCCTGTCCTGGTTTCCCACATTCTTTGCACTGCTGATCCAGGGCTTTACCCTGTTCAGATGGAACAAATGTTTTAGGGATAACGTGTCTGGTTGACTTAGGTGGTGCCTGAGCTTTTAGTTGGCCAGGAGAAGAGGTGTTTGGAGACGCCCTGGATGGGTTCTTAGGATTACATGGGCCTTGGACCTAGGAATCAGATTCAGATGAAGGTAAATAGTAGTTCAACAAACATAATGTGTCATTATCAAAGCAATTACATTTATTCAGCATCAGCAATTTTAAATTGACAGGTCTTGTCAATGCTTTCGTCACTAAATGGTAAATGGAGTGTACTTATTTAGCGTCTTTCTATCCGACCAAAATACTCAAAGAAATTTACACAACAACCTGTGCCCTCATTTACCCATTCATTCACACATTCATTCATTCTACAAAGCTAATACAGGTAAATCAATCTATAGAGACTATTCAGGTCTTTAAATCACATTCATATACTGATGGCACACACATCAGAGGCAGGAGGAGGTTCAGTGTCTTGCCCAAGGACACCTTGACATAGGACCAAATAGCAGGGGTATCTAACCGCCAACTCTTTCATTAGAGGAATGACTGCACCTAAACACTCTACCACAGCCAAATGAATGTCTGAAAACCTCATCCTGCATGTTGGAATTTACCTCTTTGGCCCAAGAAGGCTTGTCATTAGACTTATTGACTTTTGTGACGTGGAAATGCTGGTTCTTTTCTCCTTGCCTTCCCTCCAGCTGCTGCTGCTGCTGCTGCTGCTGCAGAGACACCAAGAAGGCTCGCTCATTCTGGAGCTGCCTCTGAAGACGCTCTGCCTGTCGTTGCTCTTCGACCTGTTTACGCTTGTACTCCTAGAGAGAAATAAAAGAGGCTGAATGAAAGAAATCAAAGACTTGGATGAGTTTCACAAAAACATGAAAACAATGTTGGTTGATTTAAAGCAGGGGTGTAAATTCCAGTCTTCGAGGGCCGCTATCCTGCATGTTTTAAAGGTTTTCCTGCGCCAACACCTGATTTTGATGGCTGGTTGATTAACAGGCTTCTGCACAATTTGACACCCCTGATTTAAAGGGAAAGGAATCATGAGATCCAGAAAGGATGAGGGAAGGATGAGGCACATGAATGATCAACAATGAAGCAAGTTATTAGATACTGAGCACTTATTGATTCACTGAGAAGAGAAAACTACTTTAGCGATTAAGGGAATCAATAATTAGATTTTGTGGTCTGTTAGCAAAATCTCTCATGAACCTCTGGACTGATACTTGGAAAGTAATCATAGAATGAACACAACTCATTAACTTGATTCAAGATGACTACAACAGCTAATCAGTCTCATAAAAATTGAAATAGCAACAACAATTTTACAGAATGTAAACTAAAATTTGGTGTGGTAGTAGTTGATAGTTATTTCCATCACATAGTCTGAGTGCTTAGAAATCCCAAAGGATCTTGTAATGTAATGCGTGATCAAACATTATTTTGAGCATTTAAAAAAAACACACCCATAATTTTCCCTCAGCTCTCTGTGAGCAAGTGGCCATCAGGGCACTAGCTGATAGGCTGATAGGCTCTTTTGCATGTGATCAACCAGTTTTGGGTGACACAACAAACTGGCTGATCCACTTTAAGGCTGAGTTTACCTGCAACTTCTCAGACTGAATGTCTTGATGCATCTCAGTAATCCAGGTTGGAAAAAAACTGATTAATTTGGTCCTCTAGACACCTTTTTTTGATCCTCAGATTGAGGAAGTCTTAGAAAAAAGACAAACATTTCAACCAAGAACCCATCAAGTGTACCTGACTCAACATTGTTAGATTGTTCCTCCTGGATTATTGAGGATGCATCAGGACAGCCATAACTATAAATTTTCAGTCTAAAATTAAGATCTATGATTCAGTTTGGGTACTTACTGGTAACAAGTCAAATACTTACTAAGTTAGAGCCTAAACATTACAATGGGCCTCATGCAGGAACATGTTCGTATTCTTATCCTAAATTTCTCTTACTTTTGTTCGTACGAACATGCCATGTTAGATTCAACAAGCTCTTCTATCTTCAGTGTGTAAATGAGCTGCGTAAACATGATGAATTCCACCTGTACGTATCCAGCTACTCGTGCATGTGGAGAGAAGATTAGCGTAATTACCACCCCAAAAGTATCGTATAAGGCTATGTTTCCTGCCTCAGATTTCAGTAAGTGTCCATTCGTGAAAATGACAGCGAAAAGTAAAAAGAAGAACTTTACGAGTTCGGAGATTGAAGTCCTGCTCTCCAAGTTCGAGAAAAGAAAATCTGTCATTTTTACCAGCGTCAGCTGTGGAATTAAAGGAGCTGCTTAAAGGAATGAAATGTGCTGTTAATGTCGTGTCTCCTGACGGTCGTATACAGTCACAGAAATAAAAATCTAAATTATATTCATCTCTCTCTAGTCCTACTCCGGTTTTCCTTTGGTCAAATATTTTTAATTCAAGGGTAAACAACCGTGTTAGCCTTTTTCATTTATTCAGAAGAAGAGCAGTCACGCACCACTACCCCCCCACCCCAATCCGCCCCCCGCCGCAAGTGTCAAATGCGTTTCTGAAAAAAAAAAGCATTTTAAAATGTCTCCAAACTTCAATTAACTTCATATTAATATTGTAGTGTTATACAACAGCATTAATAGCCAATGTAATTTAATTTAACCATTTTATGTCATTAGTCTTCATTATTACATTTAAAATTATAATTCTAATTCAAACAGAATAGCCTATTTTCATTATGGAGTGTGATTTATAACTTGAAATATCTTCAAACTAATTAAATATAAAGTTATTAGTGAAGAAAACCCGTCTGATAACAGCAGACTGACTGCTCGTAAAATATACGACARGTCTGGACCACTCGTRAATTTTGTTCRTATCTGAARAAAATCKTAGAATACGAAAACATTGGTGAATGCCACAAATTCTCCTAAATCACTCGTACGCACAACTTAAGAACAAATCTGTGCGTACGAACGGTTCTTGCATGAGGCCCAATGGCTTTATTTTATTTAGAACAAAGCGTCTCTCCTTCCTTACTGGTCTGTGGCCCCTCTGGCTGGATCAAATCAACCATTTTGAATATGTACTTGTGAATGCTGGTATGCGGTCCGATCGCGACACCACTACCTATGATATACTGATTAACAGCACTGTGACAGACAAAGACAGCACAGTGAAGGCAAAGGGTTTGTGTTTAGTGTCAATATGATGGATCTCAAAAGCTTTTTCTTTTCAGTCTCTCCATTCCTAGGAATTTACACAATAGCTAATCTATTTCACTGAAAGGGGAGGATGATAAACGACATGTTATTGTACAGTGTGAGTCACAAGCCTCAGGACACTTATGGCTATGTCTGGAACATGGTCGCCGTCTTGAAAGCTGCCATATTGGATCAAAATCTATTTTTTCCAATGAGAAGGTGGTCATTTAGAATGTCAAAGAATTGTCTCAGAAATGATTGCAGCAATCAGATTTGTAATATCAACACAGAAAATTGCAACAACTGGGAACGTTGCCTGTTATCTGATGTGTTCAGTGTGCTGTCCCTGATGCTGAATATAGTGTCTGTGTACATTGCATTACTCATAAAACACAAACTTTGACTCAGGTCCTGTGCAAAACAACAATGTTCCATTTTCCCTTTGAGTATTTTTGGATTATATTCTGAATCTTTTCAAATCCGACCAACTTGTTACGACTAATCATGCAATCAGGAAATAAAATTAACTCCAAAACCAGCATTAGCGTCAGGATTTTTTTCCTCAAATCTGCAGTGAATAAGCCGGGAAACACAGATTGTGGATTTCCTCACAGTCAGAATGCTACTTTTTGGATCAGCTTTCAGGTGCATGCAGTGGAGGTGGGGACCACAGCTGTGACAAGAGCGCTACGGTTACCAGTAATAAAGCCTGTTCCTGTAGCAGCTGCTTCTGGAGAATCTCTAGCTGCCTCTGCTCCTCTTCCAGCTGTCTACGGATATACTCCTGAGCATCCCGTCCGCACAAAAGAGAAATAATTTGAGAGAAAACTTGAGAAATAGAAGGAAAAAACACACACCGACAGCATGAGAAAAACAGACAAAGAGGATGAAAAGGTTCGTTTTCTGAGCTGGCAGTGAAAAAGATCAGGAAAATCCATTTAGAACAGGCATCTCAACCAAATCAAACACAGAACTGGGTTACTATATTATATAAACTAAAGTACGTTCAAGGATTTTAACACAAAAGTTAAAGCAGTACAGTTCTTTTAAAGTGAGGGTAGAAAAGTTATGAAATGAACACTTAGTATCTTCCTTGTAGATAATTTTTTTAATTACCTTGGTTTGGAGTTTAAATCTGACAGGATTAGCAAGCTATTGACTAGTGTATATTCAATTAAATTCAATTCAAAAATACTTTATTGATCTCAGAGGGAAATTAGGTATATTAACTCATTTAACTAAAGAATTAATGTAGATGCTGATGGCTGTGGGCAGGAAAGATCTTCTGTAGAGGACTGTATTACAGCGAAATTGAAGAAGCCTCTGACTGAAGACACTTTGTCTTTTATTTTTGTCACTTCAGTAGAAAATGAAACCAAATATTATTAGTTTATTTAGTTTATTTATTTCTTCATCATCAGTGACCTTTTTTAAGTGAGAAGATAAGAAAGAAAATAAGAAAAGGGAAAAGAGCTGAAACTACAAATGTATGAAATATACTCAATAAGACCACAAGACACCCCCCAACATCCAAACATCCACACCCACCAATAACCGCACAGATATATATACATAATGACGTACTAACATTTTCACCCACATCTACATGCATGCCTGTATGGATTATACGTACCAATGCATCCCCACACCACCTTGTGTGTTGTGAGCATGCATACCTATCCAAGGTTTCTCCAATAGAATATTTAATAGTGACTGTGAAGAGCCCAAGACCCAGCCCCCAAGACCCGAGGCAGACAAAGAAGGGAGCCAGAGCCCGAGACCCCAAGAGTGACCCCGAGCACAGAGCCCCCAGAGCCACCCACGCAGGACGAACCACCCACCCACCCCCCAGATTGGACCACAGGCGGGAACCAGAAGAGCTCCATGGGCAGCCACATGCAGAAACCCCCGGGGGCAGCAGTGACAAACCCATAGGCCCCCGCCGGAGTCCACCGCACCAAGGCAGATCCAGGCAAGGGCACAGAGGACCAGGCTCCGAGGACCCACCCCCCTCGGGCCACGGCCCAATGGGACCAGAGGACCCGAGCCCCCCCAGGCAGTCACAGGGCCAAGCCGACAAACGCCCAGGCGCCCAGCCCCAGACAGAGAGGGCCCCAAGCACGCCGGCAGGGAGGGGCTTATCCCACCAGGGAGCAGTGCAGCAGGGGCGCAAAGCACAAAAACCCAGCTGTATAACAGTGGGGGCAGTCAAAAACCCAGCCTGACAAGTACCCAATCAAACACAAACACACTCATACCATCCCACCCTCATCCTCACACTCATTCACTCAAAGACATACAATAACTGCACAATCCAGTCACGCTCCTGATGCATACACTATCCCCCCCGGGTTCAAGACATGTACCCGCCCCCCATAGGGGGCAGTCCATGGCTGTGTCCAAAACGGCAGGACGGGTCCTCCGAAGGTCGAATTTGTCGGCCGCATACGTCACAGCGCCGCGACGAAGGACGTCCAAAACGGAAGACTCCTCCGATGCGGCCGACAAATACATCCTTCTTTTTCCCCGAATCGAAGGACAGGTCCGATGGGTCCTTCCCGGCCCAGCATATCCCATAATGCATTGCGGCCCGACCGGAGATTTGTTCAAGCTAGTAATGGCGGACGAAGCGAGAGAAAAGAATACATTTTAAATAAAAATATGGTGATTTAAAAATTTAAAAAATTTAGCGGTTGTAATTCTAATACTTTTATCATTTGTATGGACATTTTTTTAAATATTATTTTTTCGTCATAAAAAACGCGAAATAAACATGAACCTACAGCGGGTCAATTAGTTCTTCAAATGATACCATCCATCCATCCATCCAATTTTATAGTTTTGTGATATTAATAATGCTAATGTATTGATAATTTTCTAGTTTTGATTTAAGTTTGCTTGTTTACAGTCGTCACAGTTGCTAGGTGACAAGACGTACGCCGGGGGTAAGGACGGGAGGCTAGACCGTCCAAATCCACAGCCTCTTTTTTTCCGGTCTTCCYRKHCTACCAAGGACCCGGCCCGCCGAGACCGGGGAGTCTGGGTCCTCCGGAGGACCCGGCCTGTTGTTTTGGACACAGCCCATATCCAAACCCAGGAGGTAGACCCATTCTATCTGGGGTGGAGAGGAGTCTAACTCACACAGAATGTACGTTCGTTAAAGAAAGTTGCTGTATTCTCTAAATCATTTTACTGTTGTGTCTGTTTTGGTTTTGTTATTTTCTTGTTCTGGATTCTGCTGTTTTCTTGATGTTCCTTATATTTGAAAGTCATTTTACATGCATTCCTTCAGCTCAGTCAGTCCTTCGCATCATTACTCACCTGTCCCTCATTTGCCTATCAACCTCTTTTATTACTAACTTATTTGCATTTGTTGCCACTCCTAGTCTTACTGAACCTACCAGTTCTCACCCACTAATTAGAACTGTGCTCCTTGTGGCTTTTTGCTTTACTTTTACTTTTGCTTTTGCGTGATGTCCCGTCAACTTTTTGTTTTTAATGATAAATGTGTTTAGTTAACTGGTTAACCATATCCTTAACAGCTTGAGTTCTTCTGCTTTCTTGGGTTCTTGCTCACAACAAAAGGCAATAGAACCGGTAATTTTTGTAGACTAGGGAGAGAGTACCCGGAGAAAACCCACACATGCACAGGGAGAACATGTAAACACCACACACTCAGACCTGGCGAACCTGTAACCTTCTTTCTGTGAAGTGACAGCTCTAACCACTGTTTCTCTGTGCCAACTTTAAAGGATCTCAGACTACATGCACATGTTGGCCTCTTTTTGTTGTTGTTGTTGTTTTCTATTCTACTAAAAGTTGTTGCTTTTGACACATGAAAACTCCTATTAATATTTATATTTTTCATTTAAGCACATTGCAGTCTTTTTCCTGATGCAAAACATTCTGGAATAGATTTAATGATGATGATGATGATGGATTGCAGTTAAGACTGAAACAAAAAGAATTGAGACTAAAAGGCTATACTGTGTGACAAAGTATCGTTTCGATGTCCTGCACAAGTTTTTTAAAATGTTACTATAAAACATGATCATCATGATGTTTAATGAATTAGTTCTGGTGCTAAAAGTCATATTTTAGCTTGGAAGGCTATTTATTAGCTATGGAGAAAACACCACATATATTAGCACTGGCGCTAACGACATATATTGCCATTAGCTTAGGAGCTAACAAGAAAGCTAAAAGGATGAAGCTGAGGTGCGCCTTCCACGAAGCAGCCTTTTTTTGTCCTCCTTTTTAATGTCAGGCTACACGCTCTCTTTAATTTAAAAGGGCCGAACTTCAGATACTGTCCAAAATTAACATGCAAGCTGGTTAGAGCTCACACCAGAGCACCAGTAAGTGTCATCATTTTTCCAGTGTGCTTTGTGGATTAAATAACATGGTGACGTCCGTGTGAAAATGAACGTTTTAAAATTTATAAAAACACTCTACAGAATTTTATCCTTGTTTTTAAAGTTGAAATAAATGTTTGTCAAATAATGTCTAATGTTACAACTAGTCAGAGATCCCTTTAAATGATTTAGAAGTACCATATTATAAATACACATTATTCCTGATGGAGCTGAACATTTGGATTTTTGAAAGGTTAAATGAGGTAAACAAAACAGTTTGAATGAAATAAATAGAAAAAAGCTATAAATCTGTAAAAACTGCGTGACTGATGATTCAGCAATTACACAATACGTTTTAATAGAAACCCAAATTCCTGACTACAAGTTGTGTGAAAAGTACAAAAAAGTGTAATGTCTTCTCTTTGGTTGAAAAAGAAAATCCAAAAAGTTACAAAAGGAGAGTAAAGTTAGCATTAACACACAAAACAACAAGAGGTTTTACACTTAAATCAGTATTCCCTGCATTTATGCACAAGTCTGAATAAAAAATACAAAAAAGATGTGAACCTGCTCTCTCTCTGAATGCCACTTCTCCTCGTTTCTGCGCGACTGCGGATCCACAAAAGCGGGGTTCACCCGCTCCCCGTCCATCTTGTGCTGTAAATGGTGCTGCGGTTTCTGACGGAACGGAAACCAAACAATCAACCGTCGGTTTCTGTACAACACAAACCTCAATAAAGGTTACCACAAAACAGAACGCTTTACTTTAAAGGGATCCCCGATTAGTTGTAACATTGGACTTTATTTGATAAACATTTATTTTAACTGTAAAATAAAGACTGTAAAAATACTGTAGGCTGTTCAGTTTTTATAATTTTTAACTAAAAGTTTAAAAATATATTACAC